ACAAAGGTTTCAATAATTAACCAATGAAAAATGACCCTTAAACAGGAAAATATCAACCAATGCAAATACATTTTATCAAATATGAAATTATAGATTTGCCCAATAAAAATGGTTCGATTAAGACTGATTAACACGCCAGATGTCAAAAGTCAGCGGCCTATTAATTCCTTTCTTTAAGTCAAACAGATAATCAGATAAGAAAACTTCAAATAAATGTCGTAGATAAAATTAATGATAATAATCATGTCGTCATACATGTGAGGTAAATAAATATAAATGTGAAATTGCAGTAAACATGTCAGGGGTCTGGCTAATTGATAATTTACATATTTCTGAATTTCAATATTAAAAAAATCTTTGCATAACATAAACAAGAAAATATAATAATTTTACGAAAAGTAAAATACAGCATAACATCAGAACAAACAAGTCATAGATTGGCAATTGTTAACTATACGATTACGTTACAAATACTGTCCAAAATGCCCATTGTAGTGTTGAACATTATGTTTAGCTTTTTAAAGAAGATATAAAAGTCTTTTTATAGTCTTGACTTTCTCGGTGGTATGTCTTGAAAAGTCACAAAAAGGCAATGAGGAGAATCCAGTACAGCCAGTTACAGCAAGAACTTCCTCGAATTTGCAAGAAAGTTGCCCTGTGTCGATCTAAACAGTTGATACTTAAAGTTATATTTAACATTTGTTGGTTTGTGTGTATGTTACTATGTTAATGTTTTTATACCAATTTTGGTCATATCTCGGTGGTGGGTCCAACTAACCGGCTTGTCTTGGTAATTAACTTATAACTATATTTCCGCACAAGTGTCGAACTAAATGTGTGAGAGCAATGACCATTCCACTCAATGTCCGTGATCAAAGAGGATCTAACCAGCGACCCATTGAAAATTATCCGATCCTTTTGCCTTTTTGCTCAGATGGCGGCTTTTATAAAACAAGATTTTTAATAAGTAAACTTCAGACTTACTATGCACTATAATCATCACATTTGTTAATATTTTTCAAGATTGATTCCGTCCTGGCTTTGTGTAGTTAATGATTTAGTTTTATTTAAATGATGCCATAATTCATTTGAAAATACTATTGTAGAGCATTGATAATAAAATGATAGGGAAGTAGGTTAAGTAATTTCCTTCCATGTATTAACTAAAATGTGACAAAATAGTTTTACACAATAGTGGTAAAATAAATACAAATGAACAAAATCATATAATAAAAATTAAATTATCAAAACTATGTATCTGATTTGTATTTTTTACATGGTTGAACATTATACTTTTTTCCACTTATGCGGAAAAAATAAGCCATTATGTTCTTTCTTTATACGTGTCTTTGTGTTCGGGTAAGGTGTCATATCATGCGATATAGACAATTCAGCTATATTGTGCAAAATATACCTTTAACATGATTATCTTAGATTGTATGATAATATAAAGGTTATGTTAGGATTATCTGTTATAGATAGCAAGCGTTAAGATAGAACTGTTTTGTTCTATTTTATTTTGTTTACTGACAGGAAGGAAATACGTTTAATAAATACATGAAACCGAAAGTAGGAATTTCTACTAAAATTAAGGACACGCAAAAAATCACATTGAAAACGAATGACTTAAAGGGAGACAACGTTTTAGTTAATTATTTATGTACTTAAATTACGTTACCTTCCCGCTATACTACATGTGTATTTTAATAAATATATTGAGAAATGAAAACTGAGCACGAAATATCTGTATAAGCATAAATGTTATTATTACACGTTATGAATAACGACGTCGTTAAGAAATCAGTAGACAACTGATAATTCCGATAACTGCAACTTATGTGTTATTAAAATAAATTTTGGAAACTTTAAAAGACGTCATGAAACTGCGAAAAAAGTTGTTTGTGGGGACGGAAGGGGGAATTCATTAACCGATTCATATGTATTAACATTTTCGAAACTTGTTAATATTTTAATGATTTTAATTTCTCATGCTCATAGATATTACAAATTTGTTGAAACAAAAATTTAGGATATATTTTATTGAACTGAAATTAAAATTTTTTTACCAATTGTATGCGTATCTTTCATCGATCAGTAATTTCAAGTTCATTGTAGCAAAATTCTTTTAAACATTAAAGATAACTTTTTAGTTTTGACACATTAACAAAAATCACGTATTTTTGTAACGTTCTTTTTGTTCTTCTGTAACAGGTTCTTTGAAAAAAATGATTGGATCAAATTAAACGATATTGTCACAAACGAGTAAAGTATAAACACCTATTCATATCATTTGTTTAACAAGAAGAATGACGCTTTTTGTTTTAATTTTTATTGCAAAAATCCAAAACATTTTATATCATATGATAAAGTGGCGATATAACATCGTAATATTTAAACAGGAAACATAATGTACACACAACAAGGATATTAAGATATTTAATGCGATTATGTGTGGTATTGTATATAATCACAATATTTTTTACTCAATGCATTTATATAATTATGGTATTGTCTAGTCACACATTATGCTCAATATGTTTTGCCCTGTACGTTTATATATGGTATCGTGTAGTCACTCATTATGCTTAATACCTTATACATCAAAACGTTTATATAAAGTATTGTGTATTCACACATTATGCTCAATATCTTAATGCTAATTAACAAGGACATTAATGTATATAATGCGTTTATGTACAGTATTGTGTAGTCACAATACGTTTAAGCTCAATATGTTATTATAAAGTATCGTGTAGTAAATCATTTTGCTGAAAACATTTATGCTTCAAACGTTCATATATAACATTATGTTGTCACTTATTATGCTAAGTACGTTTTTTATGCTCCATACATTCATAGAACGTATTGTGAAGTCACACATTATACTCAATATATTCATGCTCAATGCGTTTATATATGGTATTTGGTAGTCACTCATTATGTTCCATCATCTGATGTAAAAATAAATAAACATTGCAATGTTTCACAAAAATCTTAAAAATTCATTTTTTTGTTAAATTCATGATTAATAAATACGTAATGATAATTTGAGATAAACATCAGAAAAAAAATATCTTTAAACTAAAACACGTTTTGTAATATACTAATGATTCATTCGATAAAAATTACTTTATTTAGGACTATTTTGATAATTTACCAATCAAATCATAAATTATAAAGTTTAGATAAATCAACCGTGATATAAGATCACAACAATATGAAACATTTTTCGCCAAATTATTTAGTCTACCTACGTTAAACTGGTAGCAAAAGTATACAAATTTCACTTTGCATTGTTTCAAAAGATACGCACAGTGATTAATAATTTAAAGAGTGTGTCCTTTATACTCGTAAAAACATATTCAATGTTCTGACATCATGCAACACAGGTTTGGTCTTACTGATTGATACTACCATACATTCTATTCTTGCAAAGTATGTGAATACTAGTAATTTGATCTAATTTGTGTAACCCAGACTTACAAATATGTGAGAATTATTCTTGAAACGAATTATTCTCGTCCTCTTATCTGAACGGAACGCGCAATAACATTCTGAAAGCATTTCTCTAGATATATTCTCGCTTCTTTCCACTAGAACTTGACCGAGAAGAATTCGAGTGCTGTTTCCCTCATGCTCCTGAGCAATTTGGTTCAACGTAGCAATGGTTCTGGCTAATGTTTAGAGAGAGCCCTCCTGTTATATCATCTTGTCTATTAGATTCCTAGACGGGAATATGTCTTGCTTACTGCCCAAAGAAATAGAGGTAAGTGGGAGAGTCTACAACGGCCATGTTACGATCCATTCATCATACCTTCATTTCTGTAAGCAAGTCTTACCTGTGTTGATCCTAAACATTCATGTTGGAGTTCTAATGGACAACTTAGTCTAATTTCACATCGTAATAAAACAGACACATGTTGCTGAGTTAAATTGTGGAAAGCAGTTCCCATTCTTCATATTGATTCGTAGCATAACGCTGTTGAAGAATAAAGTTCTCTTCTATGCATATGTCTTGGAATCCTAACACCCACACACTGTTCAACAAAACACTTTAGATCCATAAACAACTCCTCAATCTATTTTTTCAGGATCAAGTCAGTCCCTCACACTATACTCCACAACAACTGAAATAACAGCAGCGATTTTCAGTTTACCAGATGGCTACATCGTCTGTCATAGTCCTAATGATCATGAATTCAAGTTGCCCTTCCCTTGTATGGTTAAAATGGATGTTGTTGGTTAATGTTTAAAGCCTGCTAAGAATAGATCCAAGTCTGTACTTACATGAACTCGTACTATCAAAGTTTGGTTAAACTACCTTCTATCTATGTTTGTGTTAATTGCTCGATTATTAGATGATATGACATAAATGTTAAAGTTTTTGCATCGCATTGTAGTCCTTGGTGACAAATCATTAATTTCTTTTAATTGAGAGTGGGCATTAAAGCAAACATGGCCAGTATTTATTTAGTAATTGCTCCCAAATACAGATTTGGAAATCAAATGTGCATGTTGTACGGCTATCAAAACCGCGGTTGTAAACTTGTACTGATCTAAGATGACCCAAATACTGTCGCATTCAATTTCGAGTAATGCCCTTCCATTACTTTCGATTACATAACGAAGAGTTTCAAGTATTAACGGCTTCGTTTCTGGAGAAAATCGCACGCTCATCAAATTATTTTGTGTAATGAAGAAATTTGAGGACAGTATTCATTTTGAACACAACTGTAAAAGTGTTGATAAAATCCCAAAATGATAGGACAAGAAAAGAGGGTATTTTCCTTCCATGCGTCAGATCTTGTATATGAAATACAATGTATCAAAACCGTTTTACACATGAAACTTGAAATGCTGTTGGGGAACATATGAGTAATAAAAGTTTTCAGTATCATTTTCATCAAAACATAACATCTGATTTGTGTTATGTTAAGATTAAAAATTAAAAATCGCTCTGCAAATGATGTCGATATTCTCCATTCAAGTATTTCATTTACACTTCCTGTTTTTCCAACGCCTACAACAAAACATCCCGTGTTCTTACAGTACTGTATCATATCAGTTGTAGGCCAATGCTCTTCTCTATGTTGCCATAACCAATGCCCTGCTTGAACTGGGTATAACCGAGAGGGAAAGGCAGGAACATAATCATAATCATTGACCCCAGGAACATCTTGTTGAGAATAGGCTGGACCGTGTCTCATTAATGCATTATTTCCAAGAAAATTGAATATTGTATTTTTTAACAATATTCTCCCCATTCTGTCTCTATAAAAATTATCATTAACTACATCTATGTACGGTAGTGGAGCATCATCTCTTAATATTTGTAACAAACAATATCCTGGTGAGACATACTCATCTTGAATCATTAACAAATTATGTTTACCATATTCCCATTCACTCCAGTCTTGTATCACATTAAATTTATTCTTAGATATAAGGTAATCTGTGTCAGACCGTAATCCTGGAGTTGTTGTACCTTCTATTTGACTCGAACCGCAACGGATGACCTATAAAATTCCCACTCATCTACGAGTAGCTGTAAATGAATCTTAACGTTAATATAGTGAATTCATTAAATAGCGTAATTTTGCACTCTTCTTCACTCAAAACTCATTCTCTCCGTTAAACACCAATCCCATTCATCCCAAGCTTGATAGACACAGTTCTTTACTGACAAATCTGCTGAGCCGTAATCTGTTTCTCGGAAATCATGCTGGCTAGTAACATAAAACAGAATTGCATTTGTTTTATAGATATTCCCTTCGTACGTCCTTGCTAATACTAATAGCATTAAAGATTTCACGGATATTATATAAAACAACAATTTCTCTTTGATAATGGCATTCCCTGTAAAACCACCCGTCTAAACGACGGGACACTCGGTCATGTGAACACATCCAACAATATGTAATAAACCTAGCGCAACAATTTATAAGATGATTTCAAACTATATAAAAGCCAACATTTCACAATAACAGAAAATCCGACCTCCCTAAATGGAAACTAAAGTTCTATACGTATACACCCTTACCTTATAATTGAAATTGTACCAAAACGAAAAGAAAGTTGGATTTCCCAATGATCACACACTGCAATTGGACAGGTTGAATTCGCGTACTAAATAGATAAAAATCAACAAAGTCACTAAATATAAAGCCTTGTTTCCTTTATTTGTAAATTGACATCTTACACAGACAATTTTGGTGGAAAAGAAATATCGCTCTATGGTGCTGTAAATTTATTATAAAATTATTGTTTGACAGCTCAAATTATACTAGACCGCTTTCAAAAAATATTTCTTATACATATATCCATGTAGACGTATTTTATTTCTTACTTATACATATATTTTATTTTGAACTTTTATCAGAGAAACCGGATTAAATTAAAGAATGTTTTTTATCATTTTGACAAGTCTTTAAATCTTTTATTATGAATAACTTTACTAGATGTACACTTAATTGGTCACGTAATATATTTTGTTCAATTTGGTAGTTATCAATCTTGTATTAAATTACTCAGATAAGTATGAAGCGACCAAAGAAACTAGAAAAAAAAGTTTAAATCATTCAGTAATTCTACAAGAAAAATATTATGAGATGCCTGGAAAATATGTAAAAATATAAAATCACGTCCATGAATACGCTCCCTTCGCAGCTTACTGAATACACTCCCGTTACTTCAGACGTGAGCGATAGTGGAACATTCGACCGATGCGCAGGAGAGTAGTCCATGAAGAACATTTCATTTATGGTGACATTTTTTATGTTACAAAAAAAAAAGAATTTGTTTTTTATTTGTCAGGATATCTAGCATTCATACCAGCATCATAATATTCCTTATTGTATTATTGTTCTCGTAGTTGCATTTTTTTCTGCAAGCTCTTTCGTAATGAAGTAGCTTCACGGAAACAATATCATTTTCACAATATAAAGGAATATTCTGGAAAACAGAGTCAGCGAACTATCTGAAATTTTGGAATAATTTTTTTGCAAAAGCCTACACACAAATTACAATATTTTGATTCGTTTCATGGCAAAAACTACAGCAGAGTTCATTTAATTATGATTCTATGTAACAAGAGGGCCATGATGGCCCTGAAATCGCTCACCTGTATATAGGCCCCCGGGGCGGGGCCAATTTTAATCCAGGGGCTTTTATTTGAACAAACTTGGTAGACACCCATTTAAAGATGTTTCATGATAAATATCTAACCTCTAAGAAGATTTTTTAAGTTTTTACTATACACATATAGAGAAAAACAATGCCACTCCCCCCCCCCCTCTGGGCGGGCCAGTTTTGTCCCCAGAGCTTTTATTTGAACAAAATTGGTGGACACTCACTTGCAGATAATTCATGCTCAATATCTACACTGTAGCTCTTTGGATTTTTAACAGAAGAATTTTTTAAGTTTTTACTATATACATACAAGGAAAATCAATGATCCTCGGGGTGGGGCCAATTTTAACCCTAGGGCCCTTATTTAGACACCAATTAGAAGATGTTTCATGCTAAATATCTTAGCTCTAGCTCTAAAAGTTTTTACTATATACATAAAGGGAAAAACAATGACAACCTGGGGTGGGGCCAATTTTGACCCCAGGGCTTTATTTGAACAAACTTGGTAGGCACTCACTAGAATATGTTTCATGTTTAATAGCTAAGCTCTACCTATTTGGGTTTTAAGAAGAAGATTTTTTAAGTTTTTACTATATATAAATAAGGAAAATCAATACCCCCCACCCCGGGCGGAGCCAATTTTGACCCAAGGGCATTTATTTGTTCAAACTTGATAGACACTGACTAGATGATGTTTCATGCCAAATATTTAAGCTCTAGCTCTTATGGTTTTCTAAAAGAAGATATTTTAAGTTTTTTTCTTTCGGTTGCCATGGCAACCAGAGTTCTGCTTGGAATTAAATTCTTTGAACAATTGTTAAAGTTGACTACCAAAGGAACATTCCTGTACAGTTTGGATGAAATTGGCTTAGTGGTTTATGAGGAGATGTCATTTAAAGTAAAAGTTTACAGACGGAAGGCCGGACGGACGCCGGACGAAAAGCGATCACAAAAGCTCACCATTTTTGTGACAGGTGAGCTAACAATAACTGGACATGATGGACGTGGATTGATTTCACAATTTTAGTATGTCACATTGGGTTTGTCATTCTTTACTAAAGCATCATAATTCTTAAAATATGTGTTGATGTTTGCTACTGTCAATGATTCATGACAAATATCTAAGTTGTAGGCATTTAAAATTTACAGAGGAAGACATAAATGTTCTGTCCTATAAAAGTTACATGAGCTATATCTCAGTTGTACTTTCAACGAAAAAATTGTTAAATTGATTTATAGATTTTAAGATAATCAGTGAGAACCATGTGGGTTCTACCAAGGCGATGAGAACAGGGACCCCGACCCACAGACATTATGCAAAACAATATGACCACATCTTTCTTCGAAGGGGGACATAATGATAGGCAAACGTTCACACATTACGTGGACACAAAACCTCTTAATAAAAAGACAAAAGAAGCCTTTGTGCAGTGTGTTAAATCTTTCCAAAAAATATATATCCTTATAACATACACTATAATACATTATCCAGGGATTTTCTTATATCTCTTGCCTTCTGTAACTCTCTTGGCGCCGTGTATTTTCTCTTCGCGTTTTCTATTTCTGCAAATAATACCATTATGAGTATATGTTTCATTTAGACAAATTTCTTACAGTCAGTACATATGTCAATGTACGTCAATTCTAAAATGGTCTTTCCCTGAGAGATAAAGTTGTTTTGAGCAGGTAAAGTGTTGGAGATTGGATAAACCCTCCATTGTAACAGTATGTCTAGTGAGTGTGAGAGATTTTGCATTGTGTTACCATAACTTTTCATGAAGAGCAACAATTAAACCAGGGTCTGTATATTGTGGGTCAATTTAAGAAGCGCGTCTGCTAATTTGCATAGGTGAGTATAAGAGTCTGTTAATTTGGCATTATGTGGACGATTATATAATTGTCGATTATGTAATAGATTTTTTCACTGCCAATCGTTTTCTCGAGCATCAAAATAAAAGAAATACAGTTGTTTACTGACACTCGCAGGGATGCAAAAACGAGCCTGCTGATTTGGAATTTGATATTTACTAACGTTATATTTCTCAGCCACTAAAAATGAAGAAATATAGTTACCAATGATTTACTATAATGGAACACAAGCTAGAGACACCACCTCAACGTAATATACGAAACTCTGTTTCAGATTTACATACCTCATTACTCTCATAAGTATGTTCTATCGATCTAATTCAAGAGTTATCCATAAGACGAATATGTAATAAACGATTATAGTAATTAAAGTGAGTTCAATGTACAGTAAAATGACTGTTTTGCCATAAAGAACACAAAATACTGATGTCTTGAAAGATTAGAGACGATAGTAATTAATATAATTTTCTTATACAAACTGAAAATTAGAATGTTTGTCTGCATTGTATTTTCATGCCCACCATTATGTTGTCGTAACAAACTACACCTTAATAAATATATAATAATTGGTGCCGCACATAATCGACACAGAAACATCTATAATACTATAATTACTTTAGCTATTAAATAACTTCGATTGACTATAGTTCTTAAACCCAACTTCTAACAATTGTCTCATTAGCACACATTCACGTGAGCAATTGAATATACGTTGATAGTGTGAGTATTTTTGTAATAATACTTTTAGTTACTTTATTAAACGTTTAAAAACGAGCTTAACTAAAGTTAAACAAATTTTTTAAACAGTTTGATTGGTTGTTAATATTCTTAGTCTTTTTGCACAATTACAGTGCTTTCTTTAGGTCACATAAATCTAAACATGTTCTAAAAAACATATTTCTTAATATGTTATAAAACTCATGTATGCCCTTTCTAAAAACAGTAAAAATATTTCTACTGGTTCTGAGGCATAGTGTGTCTTTAAAACGAATGTACATCAAATAAATAAGGACTCTATGAACTACAATAAGAATGTGGTGTTTGGTAGAACAAGCAGGCAAACCATAAAAATCAGACCTATCATACGTTTATACAGAATCTATTTAAGCCTGATTGTATAGAAAGCTTTAAAGCCAAATGACACACCTGGAACCAACTGAAGAGTGTGAATTTATTTTGATAAAGGAAGCAATGGCCGTTGCCCAGACATGCATATCATCGGTTTAACTTTAGCAACAACAACCTAAGCAGCTTCCTGCGCGTAGAGAATCTACTAAAATCTGATCGTTGAGTCGGTGCTATTTATTTGCTCTTGATAGCTGTTTAAGTTACACAACTAGCAACAAATTCCTAAATCTTGGACGTGTTAAGCCATGCTATCGGTTAAAAGAGTCACTTCCAGAGTTAATATACTAATTATATAAATTGCACTAGTAAACTATCATTTTGTATATAGCGACCAAAATCTACTACCTTTATCAGTATAACTAGAGCGTTTTAATTGTTCTTCAGTGATTTTGGTATAATTGGCCTTTTTAAACGTTCATTTCTTTCTAAGCGCAGATTTATTCAAGAGAGGGTACGTATATGTACCATTTAACCGGCGTGTCTCTCATTACCATCTTCTTAAAGTGGAAAAACTGAAACAAACAAAATGAAAGTCTTTCCTAGTTTTTTTACAATATAATTTCAACCCATTTTTTTAATTTATACATACGTTCTTATATTACAGACGATACACATATATGTGTGCCTTTTCAATACTCCCTTTAACATTACGTTAAATAACCACTATAAATGCCCAATAAGACAGCATAACACATATATCCTAGATATGAATGTACACATGTATCCTAGATATGCATGTACACATTTATCCTAGATATGCATGTACACATGTATTCTAGATATGCATGTTACACAAGTCTCCTAGATATGCATGTACACAAGTATGCTAGATATGCATGCTCACAAAGTAACCTAGATATGCATGTACACATGTATTCTAGATATGCATGTACATATGTATCCTAGATATGCATGAACACAAGTATTCTAGATATGCATGAACACAAGTATGCTAGATATGCATGCTCACAAGTATCCTAGATATGCATGTACACATGTATCCTAGATATGCATGTACACATGTATCCTAGATATGCATGTACACATGTATCCTAGATATGCATGTACACATGTATCCTAGATATGCATGTACACATGTATTCTAGATATGCATGTACACATGTATTCTAGATATGCATGTACACAAGTACCCTAGATATGCATGTACACATGTACCCTAGATATGCATGTACACATTTATTCTAGATATGCATGTTCACAAGTATTCTAGATATGCATGTACACATGTATTCTAGATATGCATGTACACAAGTATTCTAGATATGCATGTACAGATGTATTCTAGATATGCATGTACACAAGTATTCTAGATATGCATGTACACATGTATTCTAGATATGCATGTACACAAGTATTCTAGATATGCATGTACACATGTATTCTAGATATGCATGTAAACAAGTATTCTAGATACGCATGTACACATTTATTCTAGATATGCATGTACACAAGTATCCTAGATACGCATGTACACGTGTATCCTAGATATGCATGTACACAAGTATCCTAGATATGCATGTACACATGTACCCTAGATATGCATGTACACATGTATCCTAGATATGCATGTACATAAGTATCCTAGATATGCATGTACACATGTATCCTAGATATGCATGTACACATGTATCCTAGACATGCATGTACACATGTATCCTAGATATGCATGCACACAAGTATCCTAGATATGCATGTACACAAGTATCCTAGATATGCATGTACACAAGTATCCTAGATATGCATGTACACATTTACCCTAGATATGCATGTACACATGTATTCTAGATATGCATGTACACATGTATCCTATACATGCATGTACACATGTATCCTTGATATGTATGTACATAAGTATCCTAGATATGCAAGTACACAAGTATCCTAGATATGCACGTACACATTTATCCTAGATATGCATGTACACAAGTATCCTAGATATGCATGTACACATGTATCCTAGACATGCATGTACACATGTATCCTTGATATGTATGTACATAAGTATCCTAGATATGCAAGTACACAAGTATCCTTGATATGCATGTACACATGTACACTAACAAACAATATCTGTACCTAAGAAACAGTCTCTGCATCTTGCAAACAATAGATAAGTATAATTCAAGGTACATTTTTTTAAAATTCATAGCAATCAATAATACCATTTGATGTAAATTTCAGACTTTCATACCTCTTTCTTTTGTAATAGAGTAAATGCAGACCCTTCCTTGCCCGCTCTAGCTGTCCTACCAATACGATGTATGTAAGTCTGTATGTATGAGGGTGGGTCATAAGATATTACATATTTCACTGTTGTTATGTCCATTCCTCTAGCCATAGCATCTGAGCACACAAGGCTATAAACAGGTAAAATATAGAATTAATTTATGGTATTGATAGAAAATGTTAAAGTTGCATGCCTCCAGACGACCCAAAATATTTCAAGAAAATTAAACTTGGAAAAAACATACTAAAACTTTGAGAAAAGTAAACAAATTTAAGATTCAAGTGATAATTTATATCTTATGTGCAATTAATGACTGTATTTTGTAGTATTTATCACCATATTTCTACTGTGTTACTAACACAGTAGGGGCTATTTATGCATGTTTTGATCTCTTTTTGGTACTTTACGTGGATTTTAAGTGCCGATTGTAATGTGTCAAGCACTTTCTTTGTTCATTTCACAATATTTTACCTTTAAATACATTTTTAAAATTTTCATTAAAATTAGGATGAATCTGGAGGCGTGCTGCTTTAACTTCTTCTGTTCGTCTTCAGATATTGTAAATTTAGATATTGTGATTTAAGATATTGTGAATTTAGATATTGTAAATAATTATATTGTGAATTTGAATATTGTGAACTTGAATATTGTAAATTAAGATATTGTGGCTTAATATATTGTGTATTTAGATTTGTAAATTTCAGATAATGTAAATTTAGATATATGACAAATATAGATATTGGAAATTTAGATATTGTGAATTTTGGAATTGTGACTTTAGATGTTGTAAATCAGATATTGTGATTTTAGATATATTTAGCTATTGTGAATAAAGATATTGTTAATTTAGATATAACCAATTTAGATATTGTGAATAAAGATATTGTTAATTTAGATATTGTGAATAAAGATATTGTGATTTTAGATATTGTATATTTAGCTATTGTGAATAAAGATATTGTTAATTTAGATATAATGAATTTAGATATTGTGAATAAAGATATTGTTAATTTAGATATAACGAATTTAGATATTGTGATTTTAGATATTGTATATTTAGCTATTGTGAATAAAGATATTGTTAATTTAGATATAATGAATTTAGATATTGTGATTTTAGATATTGTATATTTAGCTATTGTGAATAAAGATATTGTTAATTTAGATATAACGAATTAAGATATTGCAAATTAAGATATTAAGAATTTAGATATTGTAAATATTCATTATTAAGTAAGATATCTTGAATTATGATCATAATGTATATATCACTATAATAACAAGCACATGCATGACATTCCAACAGAATTCCTTTAATGGTTAAATAAGCTATAAAATTTCATACAAACCCTTAAACATATGAAATATTCAAATTTATGCAAAATCTGAAGCAGTTAATGCACCAAGACTGACACCTTGTAAAATAGACTCACTTTAAAAAGTCAAATAGAAATTATAATATTACAATATTTAACTCACATATCAATTTTGCCAGCCTCAAATTTCTTCAAGATGGCATTCCTGCGAGCTACATGTATACTAGAGGAGAATTCTTTTACCTCAATCCCTCCATATAACTTGATTAACATAAACAACCTGTGACAAAATATACAAATATAAATAAAATATTTAAGATAAACTAAATAAACATAAATAATCTGCAATATAAATTTACAAGAAAATAAATTTTGTATACAAAATCAAATATTTAAGATAAACATTCAATTAACTAAATGAACATAAATAATCTGTAATATTAAATTTACAAAATGTAAATACATGTATACAAAATCAAATATTCAAGATTTTCAAATATTCCATTAACTAAATAAACATAAAAATCTGCAATGTATATACACAAAATCAAATATCAAAGGAAAACACCCGGTTTAGTTTTTGTAACACTCTAAAATTTAATGCCCCAGTAATGGGAAATAAACCTGCCTGAATTAAAGCCCTGACAAATTGTTGTAAATTACCTGTGTGTTGACTCTACAGAATTTGTGAAGCAAAGGATGTTTCTATACTTTAGATGATGAAGAAGATGTAGTATAATCAATGGTTTTTCACCACTTGTCGTTTCTATGTAATATTCCTGTATAAAAAAGAACTTTTATTATTGTTAATGGTAATAATCATGACCATTGTAAAATACCTTTTCAGTTCAACTACATTGAAAGAACTATCCAAACTTTATACTTTATTCCAATCATTCTTTGGTTATTCTAAAACTCTTAATTAATTAATATATATTTCTATAACGATTAAAACCAATTTTAGGAAATATAAGCATTATTTCTTTCTCAAGGTCAGAAATAATTGCTTAGTAGCTTTAATAGGAGATAAAAGGTCACAAGCTTAAATCAAACATAAATACATAATGGCTAAAATCAGCATTGTTGATTAATAGTTAAGTACAAAATAAGAATTGAAATGGCTAACAAGAGCACCGCTAGGTGGAGCATTATATGCCCGAAAGTGATTTTTTTTAGTAAAGATGAAGCATTTGTAAGACATGGGATTTCAATAAAGTATTACCTCCTTCAATTAACAATCCTCCTTTAAAGTTTCAATATTGTTGTCCAAATGGAACTTAAGTTATGCCCAAGAAACTGTTTTCAATTCTAAGGTAATAGTGACCTTGACATTGGGGCCCCAAAATCAACAGGGGTCTTCTACCAAATATGGACAATCATCCTTTGAAGTTTGAATATTGTGGGCTAAATGGAACTTAAGTTATGCTCAAGAAACTGTTTTCAATTTCTAAGTTATAGTGACCTTGACCTTTGACCTTGTGACCCCAAAATCAATAGGGGTCTTCTACCCAATATGGATAATCATCCTATGAAATTTGAACACTGTGGGCCAAATAGAAATTAAGTTATGCTCTGGAACTGTTTTTTGTTTAAAGTTAATAGTTGCCTTGACCTTTGACCTTGTAACCCCAAAATCAATAGGGATCTTCTACCCAATATGGACAATCATCCTATGAGGTTTGAACACTGTGGGCCAAGTGGAACTTAAGTTATGCTCCGGAAACTGTTTTCAGTTTTAAGGTCATAGTGACCTTGACCTTTGACCTAGTGACCCCAAAATCAATAGGGGTCTTCTACCTAATATGGACAATCATCCTATGAAGTTTAAACACTGTAGGCCAAATGGAACTTAAGTTATGCTCCGAAAACTGTTTTCAGTTTTAAGGTCATAGTGGCCTTGACCTTTGACCTTGTGACCCCAAAATCAATAGGGGTCTTCTACCCAATATGAACAATCATCCTATGAAGTTTGAACACTGTGGGCCAAATTGAACTTAAGTTATGCTCCGAAAACTGTTTTCAGTTCTAAGGTCATAGTGACCTTGACCTTTGACCTTGTGACCCCAAAATCAATAGGGGTTTTCTACCTAATATGGACAATCATTCAATGAAGTTTGAACACTGTAGGCCAAATGGAACTTAAGTTATGTCCCGAAAACTGTTTCCAGTTTTAAGGTAATAGTGACCTTGACCTTTGACCTTATGACCCCAAAATCAATAGGGGTCTTCTACCCAATATGGACAATCATCCTATGAAGTTTGAATATTGTGGGCCAAATGGAACTTAAGTTATGCTCCGGAAACCAAATTGCTAACGGACGGACGTACAGACGGACGGACGTACCAAAATTTGATGTTTATGAGGCAAATCAGCTCATAAACACCACCTGGACCAACGTCCATAAGCAAAATAAGCTCATAAAAACAAAAAGATAGCTCTTAATTTTAATTTGATGAGTTTATGTTCTTTATTTAACTACGGAATGAAGCTCATAATAATCAAATGTTTGCTCGGACAGACAGACGGACGCCAGAGTGTATAACATAATATGTCCGAAATTCTTTCGGGCATATAAAAACATGACATCAAAAACATAGGACATCAGAATAATAGGAAATGAATTGGTAATGGCTTAAAAAATGACATGAATTGGTGATGGAAAAAAAACATCTCATACTTGGTAATGGCTTAAAAATGACATGAATTGGTGATGGCTTAAAACATTACATATGAATTGGTAATGGAAAAAAAACATCTCATACTTGGTAATGGCTTAAAAATGACATGAATTGGTGATGGCTTAAAACATTACATATGAATTGGTAAAGGAAAAAAACATCACATACTTGGTAATGACTTAAAACATGACATAAATTGGTAATGATTACAAATTGTCTACCACATTTATTTACAGACAGACAATTAACTTACTGATAAGCTAGATGGGGTTGCGTATTTACCCACAAAGTCACCAGGTTTCTCGACAATCTTGCTTTTTTCAATGCTATTTGCATCACCTACATGATAAAATCATTTTTATTGAACTGAATGGAAACAACATTAAAAACATCAATTGCCAAAAAAACAGGTCAAAATATGCAAAAATAGCCCTACTGCATTAGTCATGCAGCAGATATATGGTGATAAATACAGTAAACTTCATTTATAGCGAACACGGTTATAGCGAACCTCCGGTTATAAGGAACAAATTATTTTGGCCCCAATTTTGCCCTTCTTTATTTCATATAAAAACATACGGTTATAGCGAACATGGTTATAAGGAATTATCGCTTAAAAGGAACTCATTTCTTAACACCAATTTAGAGAAAAGTACAGAAAATTTTCACTTTTATAACAATCTCCAATATATCGGCTATCCGTAAATATTCAACTTTCGTTTCATTGGCATGGATTAAAACTCGGCCGAATGTGTTGTTTATTGATGTATGTACTTCAATACACCTATGAAAATGAATTTGTATAGAGTACGTTGTATAGTTTTCTATTTAGGATATTTTTAATACGAGTTCTTGTCACCAAGATAAAACGGTTATTCCTTTTATTCTATCATTTTTTTATTTAATAGTTTTGCTCGACGAGTAATCAAAAACACAATTATGCCACTGAAAGATTCCATCAATTATGAGTTATTCAACAAAAATAAAAAAAAGTAAAGGAGAATAATCTATTCTAACACTCCACATGATTTTGTCACTATAGACAAAGAAGGATAAAAATGGTGTTAAACTGCCAATAAATACTGGTTAGGGACTACTTGGATATGCGTCTGTTATGTTTTCACCCTCTATTATATAGTTGACAAAGCCTTTTAAAGCAACCATAAAAAGCATTTTTATTTATATTTTCAGTTCTTATTACAATACTGAAGTAATATCTCACATACACTAACATCACATATTTGATTCATATCAGTTAAAAAATATTTTGACAAAACGGCGCCAATCCATATGCAGCGTAATGACATCATCCTAAGTAAACAACTCATTCATAAACAAGCTGACGTTTTTTCAAACATACAAGAATGATAAATGGGGCACTGATGTAAACACAATCTTCCTTATTTTATCATGTTAGAATTTAAATAATATCGGTCTTAGCCGTGTTTATCGGCTATTTAACACAGGTTTTGTTGTTTTAATGCGAAAAAACTCACCACTTAGGCCTACAGCCTTTGTGGTCAATTCCTATGCATCAAAACTCCAAACTGGTGTTAAATAGCCGATTAACACCGCTAAGACTGATATTATTTCTTAAATATATTACCGTCAGGTTTATTGTCAACATTCTTTGTTTCTGAGTCACTCTCTAAATTAGCATCATTGTCAGATTCCTTATCAACAGATCTCTTTGCCAGTTTATCTCCACTGTCCTGTCTTTTGTTGAATGTTTTAGACTGTGATGGTTTTATTCCAGTTTTGACAACAGATGTGACCAACTTTGGCTGGAATAGACTCAGCTGTTCAAGTTTTTCAGGATTCTGTGACAAAGTTGCGGTGTATAGAAGTTTCTGTAACTGGAAATATAAAAATAAAAGTACAATGAAGGACTTTTAATTAGCAGTGTTTTCGTCAACAGAGAAACAAGCAATATGAACGGTCACAAAACCAGGCTGGTTTTCTTCCAATAAAAGGTGTGAGAGGCCTTGTGCACAGAAGAGAAGATTTCTATAGATCACTGACATCACCCTTCTAATAACCAGTATTTACTTTAAAATGGATTGGTCAACAATTGGCATATTTTATATAAGTATTTCAAATACAAAAATGCAAATTCATTTTCAATTCAATTGTGTTGTAAGCTATAAACTTATATCCAATTCTTGGAACCCACCATAACTAAACAATGAGTGTAAAGTTCTTGTCCCTGATGGGGTTTGATCCAATGAGGCTGACAAAACTTAGATTACTTGTGTGAAGCATTAACCACTCTTGACTGTTCGTTGTAGAACTAAAACCAGCAGATAAATAAATCACCTGCCACTGCACACCTGTACTGATGTGTCATATTTCTTTTTTTTATTTGGGTTTTACATCACATCGACACAGTATAGGTCATATCGCGATGTTCCAGCATTACTGGTGGAGGAAGATCTCCGATGCCCTTCCGTGCATTATTTCAGGCACAAACGGGAACCTGAGTAGCACCTGAGTAGAACCACCGACGTTCCGTAAGCTAGCTGGATAACTTCCTCACATGTCACATTTTTTATTTACCTCTAAATTTGAGGTACAACATTTTTTATGTAAAACATTTAAGTGGAATAATAAGTATAAACATTACAGGCATTTCCATCCTTTGACAATAAGATGCCGTAAGAGGTCCCGGGCGGGGTCAGCATCTTTACACGGAGTTCTTTCCTCGGCTCAACCAATCTTGTTTTATTTCATCCATCATTCTATCAGCTTCATTTTTCTCCTATAGATTAAATAGAGCATTTCAAAGAAATTTTATTTATTTATACGAATTTATTGTAGTTCGATTGTGTTGGAAGCTATGAGCTTAGAGAAACACTCTGGAATATGTTCCTGACACCAACCAGTACTAAGTAATGAATGTATAGTTTCGCGCTTAAGGAAACAACGGCTTGCTCCTGATCGGGTTTAAACCTATACAACCAGCAATCCTTTGATAACTAAATAAGACGTTTTAACCCCTATGCCACGCCACAATCAAGAAATATTTATTTCAAAAGGAAGTTAAATTAATTTAAAGAAATTTAGAATAAGCCTATGGTGAGCTTTAAACTAATAGAGTAAGTCTATGGTAAGCTTTGAACTATTAAAGTAAGTTTATGGTGAGCTGTAAAATAATAGAATAAGTCTTTGTTTAGCTATAAACTATTGGAGTAAGCCTATAGTAAGATATAAACTAATGGAGTAAACCTATAATGAGCTATAAACTTAAAGAGTAAGCCTTAAGTGAGCTATAAACTATTAGAGTAAGTCTATGGTGAGCTATTAACTAATGGAGTAAGCCTATATTGAGCTATAATTTTACAGAGTAAGCGTATGGCGAGCTATAAACTAATAGAGTAAGCCTATAGTGAGCTATAAACTAATAGAGAAAGCCTATGGTGAGCTTTGAACTAATGGAGTAAGTCTATAGTGAGCTATAATTTTACAGAGTAAGCCTATGGTGAGCTATTAACTAAATAGAATAAGCCTATGGCGAGCTATGAACAAATAGAGTAAGCCAATAGTGAGCTATAAACTAACAGAGTAAGCCTATAGTGAGCTACAAACTAATGGAGTAAGCCTTTAGTGAGCTATTATTTTACACAGAAAGCCTATGTTGAGTTATTAACTAATAGAGTAAGCCAATGGTGAGCTATAAACTATCGGAGTAAGCCTATAGTGAGCTATAAACTATCGAAGTAAGCCTATAGTGAGCTATTATTTTACAGAGTAAGCCTGTGGTGAGCTATTAACTAAATAGAATAAGCCTATGGCGAGCTATGAACAAATAGAGTAAGCCAATAGTGAGCTATAAACTAACAGAGTAAGCCTATAGTGAGCTACAAACTAATGGAGTAAGCCTTTAGTGAGCTATTATTTTACACAGAAAGCCTATGTTGAGTTATTAACTAATAGAGTAAGCCAATGGTGAGCTATAAACTATCGAAGTAAGCCTATAGTGAGCTATTATTTTACAGAGTAAGCCTGTGGTGAGCTATAAACTAATAGAGTAAGCATAAAGTGAGCTATAATTTTACAGAGTAAGCCTATGGCGAGCTATTAACTAATAGAATAAGCCTATGGCGAGCTATAAACTAATAGAGTAAGCCTATAGTGAGCTATAAACTAATATATTAAGCCTATAGTGAGCTATAAACTAATGGGGTAAGCCTATAGTGAGCTATAAGTTTACAGAGTAAGCTTGTGGTGAGCTGTAAACTAATAAAGTAAACCTAAAGTGAGCTATAATTTTACAGAGTAAGCCTATGGCGAGCTATTAACTAATAGAATAAGCCTATGGCAAGCTATAAACTAATAAAGTAAGTCTTTTATGAGCTATAAACTTTTGAGTAAGTTTATAGTGAGCTGTAATCTATTAGTGTAAGTCTATAGTGAGCCATTTACTATTAATATAAGCCTATGCTGAGGTATAAACTATTATTAGAGTAAATCTACGATGACCTATACAGTTTTTAAGTGAGTCTATGGTAAACTATTAACTAGAAAAAGCCTATGGTGAGCTTTAAATTAATAGATTAAGCCTACCGTTAGCTATAAATTATAAGGGTAAGTCTATATTGAGCTATAAATTAATAGACTTAAGCTTATGGCGAGCAATAAACTAATAGAATTAGCCTTAAGTGAGCTATAAACTAAAAGATTAAGTTTATTGTGAGCTTTAAATTAAAGGATACAGTTTTAAGTGAGCTATTGTCTATGTCATTATCAAGTCTCATAGACGTTACACGATATATGTTTGTCTTGCATGTACGATCGTAATATATTTCTCTAAGTGAACATCAAATGCAATATTTTAATGAGTGGTGTAGCCACAAGTGAAAATATAAGAGCTGGTGTAGCAATGCTTTTCATGTTTTGATCATTTTCCCAGAGACTTTTATTTCAGCTTGAAAGCAGCTTTTAAAATATAAAGTCTTCAAATCCAGACACACTATTCCATGCGTGAGATTTAGTGGCCCTTGATATTGATCGATTTCTGCCCTCTTGGTTTAATATGGAAAAGTAGTCGTAGATTTTACGTTACCAAATGTGTTTACATTACATTTTCAATATCCACCTTACCGACTTTTCTAGATAACTAGCCAATATTTACTTATTTCTTCACAATAGACCAACAATTAATCACACCTGACATGAAATTGTCAGTATCAGTGGTGATAGACAAATGCTATCATATAAACTCAATGTCCAAGATCAATTGTTACCCAGATATAATGCATCACCTGACAATCAAACCAGTGGCCACATATTAACTAGTCATACATATTAATTTAAGTGGGCAGACAACAAGTGTACTTTAAATAAGTATAGATAGTCTAATTTCAGTAGGGAGATGGAGACAGAACAATAGCATGATCTAGAATTCAACAATTTTTTGTAACAACATTGGGTCAAAACAATAGTTGCCACTATGATAGCAAAATGTTTGATGGAATACACATTTACCTGAGATTTTCAGGATATTTACCATAATCTATAGATGACCGAAGATGTACTGAGTCTTCAACATTTTTACATTTCTTTACAACTTTTACTGAAAGTAAAGATTGTATAAAGATGATGTTATCATGTAGATAAAAGGCAATATTCAATTTGATCTTCTTTTTCTACATTTCTAGAAATATCAACATTTCATGAAATTATTTTACAAACTAAAGCTATTAAGTGACAAATCTTTATTTAATAGATATCATAGTAACTTTATATGAACAATGTGTTATCTTCAAAAACCTTTTTTAGAAATACTATGTGATTGAAGTGTAAATTGTTTTTAAATAAAGCATCTTCGTATCCATAAAAAAATTGGTTTGGACCGGAAATCATTAGAAATCTTATGAAAAGTTCCACGATAATAGTTTTAAGTCTAACCTGTCACATAATCTTCGTAAATCTTATGAAACATATCAGGACAATAATACGATGGTAATAGTTTTAAGCCTTACCTGTGACAAAGTCTTCAGAAATCTTATGAAACGTACCATGACAATTGTTTGAGACCTTTCCTGTGACAAAATCTTCGGAAATCCTATGAAATGTACCACAACAATAGTTTTAAGCCTTACCTGTAACCATATCCTGGACCTCGTCTAAACTATTCAACAGTTTCAAACGATCTTCATCTTTTCTACACGACTTGAATTCTTCCAGAAAATCAGCATATTTTCCTGATGTTTGTAATTTTAATTTCAAATCTGTCAGCAAACCTAAAATAAACAGAAGCATGATCACTTAATGTTATAAATGTTATAATGTAAATGTAATTAATACCCACTAAACTGACATAAAAAAAGTAGGCGGAGTAGAGACTGCATGCCAGGCTATAGACTACTATATTTTGCCAGGCAAAGACTACCATATCTAAAAGGAACATACTACACATTCAGATGGGTTTTCCTTCCGTATTCCATGTGCCTTTGCATTGTTGTATCAAATTTAAGTGCTCTTGCAAGATATGCTCAATGTGTACTGTTAACTGTTATAATAATATACACAGCAGTGTCATCAACATATAACCAAACCTGTGAAATTATGCATTGAGACAGGTCATTTATGTAGAGTAAGAAGTTGGTTAAGGACAGTGCCCTGTGGGACACCTGATGAAACAGATACCTCATCAGACTTATTTCCATTAATCATGACAGGCTTTAGGCGAACTATGACAAAAAAATTACAAATTGAAGTGTGTGGTCTTGAATGCCATGCTAATGTAATTTGAAGAGTAACAGTCAAAAACTTTAAAATGTGTTTAAAAATTTAAACAGTATTGAATCTGTTTGTTGACTATGAATTAAGTTCCTTGATAGATCCTCAACAAGTCCTAAAAGTTGTGAAAAACAAGATTTTTTTATCCGAAACCATGTTGGAGGTGAAATAAGGTGGGGGGGGGGGGAAATCCCGGGATCCGGAACGCCCGGGATCGTATTAGATATAGAGGGAAAACTAATAAACTATATTTGTGTTGATTATTTCGTTATGAAAGGCGATTAAACGTTAAGTGTTTATTTTTATTGTAATATAAATCTGTGATTTAATGAACGTTAAATTAAATTAACTTAGGATATAAATATATTTAGAGCAATTTATTAACAAACTTAAAATGTGGAAATCACAAAACTTATAATTATATGCCTAATTAACTGGAAAAATTAAAGACTATATTCTTGAATTGGTCAAATCCCGGGATCCCTATATGTTTTAATACGATCCCAGCTTTTTTGAAAACTACATTCTTGAACTGGCCAATTCCTGGGATCTCTATATATTTTAATACGATTGCGGCTTTTCTGAAAACTATATTCTTGAACTGGTCAATTCCCGGGATCCCTATATGTTTTAATACAATCCCGGTTTTCTGAAAACTATAATTATTCTTGAACTGGTCAATTCCCGGGATCCCTGTATGTTTTAATACGGTCCCGGCTTATCTGAAAAGTATCTTCTTAGACTGGTCAATTTCTGGGATCCCTATATTTTATATACGATCCCGAAAATCGTGAAAAAAAATACGTTATTTTTAGAGATTTTTTATGACCACTACAAATCAAACTTATTTAGAAATCTCTACAAAATATTCAAATAGTAATAATAATATACCGAGAGTAGGTGGTCAATTACTATATGTTTAATACGATCCCTGGTCCCGCCTTTCTTTAGGCTATCTAGGGATTTTCCCCCCACCGTGAAATAAAACATTGTTGACCTAAAAGTGCTATGAAATGTTTGATGCAACAATGTGTATAATAACTTTACAAAGAACATATGTCAATGAAATGGACCTTTAGTCTGACGGTTACTTTTATTGACTGTCTTAAAGGGAGATCTAGTTCTTATGTATTGTCTAAAATTAACCCAGTTGGCCTTATGAAATAAGTGAATTTGCCGAGGCTTATTTTTATTTAGACGGTGTTTAACATCACAGTTGATTTGGACAAATTGTTACTGATTTAATCATACATTGATCTAACAAGAGAAGGATTGATTTTGAATGTAAAAAAATAAGTTCCTGAAATATTGTTAACCTTGATGAAAACTAACCCTTTTGTTTGAAATTGTTAGCAAGGAAAAATAATTTTACATTTAAAATTAAAGAAAGTCTACGTAATAGTTTCGGGAAGTGAGCAAAGAGGGGCTCGACAGCAAAATCTGGCATTTTCGAGCATTAGTATGTGGATGGTAGTCCAACATTTTGTTCTATGCAACAAGATATTGTTTTTTTTTTGTGTAGGCTCAAAATCACGGATTCTGACCCCCAAACAGAAAATTTAGAACTCTCAGAACAGCTTGCACGAGATAACAATAATTTATTCGTAGTCTCACTTTATATATATGACAACTAGAAATCGTCCTCAAATCCCGGTCGTTGATTGTTGATCCTCATTCCGATGTGGCGCACAGTCTTAGTATTGGAATCGTCATCCATCAAACTTCGACTGTCCCAGGCGTCGAGATAAGCTCCCATTGTCCGTGGCGTACTTTACAGTAATCCTGTCAAGGCGGCGAAACAGACGAATTAAGACAACAACCTCAGCCCCTCTTCAATAGGTATAACATGTATCCCAATCCGCACGTCCGCCGGTGACCCGCATCCTGTAAGAATAATTCGGAAATTGAAAAAAGTGATTAGAAAACAAACAACGTCATGAATTCCAATATCCTATATTTTATTAGACAATACAAAAAATCAAAACACGAAAATACAGTACTATATATTATATTGTAAATTGTTCAGGATCTTACCTCAACGCGTTGTGGCCGACGGTCTCACGGTACACTCCAGTGAAACGCGCCACAAACACTCCGTGATCCACGCCCTCCACGTACTCATCACAGCCAATTGGTCCATCCAACTCCATAGCCGGCCACAGCGCGAAGCAGGCGGTCGCCAACAGAAGAAAAGCAGGACCTACCTTACGGAAAATCAGTTGTCCCTATCGAATATGAGTGGCAAGACCGTTCCGCCTGATCTTCCATAGCAGCCTCTGGTTCCAGTGAAGACCATCCTGCAGTACACAACTGGCGGAACAAATCTGATGCTTGCCAAGCAACTGAAAAATAAATATAAATTTAATTTTTTAATTAAATCATAAAGTTAATTGAAATGCGCAATTTTTTATTACTGTAATCCTTTAATAAGACGAAAATACTGCTGCAAATCCAACAGAACAACGGACTGGAGCAAACGCGACGGCCTGGAAACGGCGACGTACCCTTGACTGCATCAGAACATCACAATACTGTTCGCTTCATCTTCTCACGAACATAAACATAGTTGAAAAGCCTCTTCCACCAGCTTGAACGTCCATCTATACAACAACGCGCCTGTTAGAATCTGTAACTGGTCCGTCTGTGCAGCACAGAAGTCGCTGAACACCAAAACCGGAATATAGTCAAGCTAAAAAGTCTTTTCCGAGAGATCGTGCGAGCAAATGTATGACAGTTCAGAACGGTAAACAAATGAAGTAAAACTGTATTTAAAGCACAAATCTGATTGTCGTCTTTGTTATGTGAAATAAATCGACTATGATAGTATAAAATAATGAATATATATAGAACAACTAAATCTTACGTCAAATTCCGAATGTTGTTAATGGCTCATTCGTCGTGTAAGATCTCGCCCGGAAGAATTCGGGTCTGAAGATGGTCGCCCGTTGTGTCATCTCGCCAATCAAAGCTGTATCACTATTTCGGCGGCCGGTAAAATTCGTCAGTCTGCCAGTCTCCTTCACCTGAAGACATGTGTGAAAGCATCAATAATGAGTACTTAGCAAAGATCAATAACGTAGCAATGTAATTATAGTATTATCTACGAAAGCATCAAGAACATAAAAGAACATTATATATAAACATTTATAAGCAATAAAAGGACTTAAGCTGCTATTTCGTCTCTTCATGCGCCGGGCCTCAGTAGGGTGTTGATGCCCGTTAACACTCGAGTGGAACAGGTTTGTAAACTGTGACGTTGGCACCACCCTTAAGGTTTATTTCGACACTACAATCTCGCAATAAATCGCTCTCCACCGCCTCTGAAATGATAAATAAAAACGTGATTATATTACATCTAAATAATCTATATATAATGAACACGAATGCCAAGCCATTAATGATTCCTATGAGACAGACTAGTATAAAAAAAAGAAGAAATTAACGACCAAACCAAACGATTAAGGTGACAATCAACAACTGACGATTCCGGTCCCCACCTGACCCCCATCACGAGCAAAGTCAAATGGCTATCGAGTAAACATCATCAGTGGAATATCGTAGTAATCTAGGCGTCAGGTGGGGCCGCTGCGGTTGGTCTCGTTCTTGATAAAAGGATCTGCTTCAGAGCTGAATCGTCAGACAGTTGATCAGCTCTTGCATCGGTGACTCACGTCCTCCGACAGACGACGTAATGTTCCAGTTCATCTTGTATGAAGAATCTGGTGATTCGGTGCTCGAACACATCGTCACAGGAACCATTTCACTCAACGCCGTTACACCGTCGTACGGTGCCGTCAAACCATACTCCCCCTGAAACAAAAAATAGAAACAATGTATATATAGCTGAAGTCTCTAAGTAAGTCATCAATAGATTGAAAAAAAAAATGTTTGTAAATAAAAATTTGTATATCATAATTAGATAAAAACCATATAGAGCAATTAAAATATAAAGTTAAAGAATCAGTCATATGAATTAAAAAACTCAGTTTAACATAATATGTAACCAAAAGAAGAGAACCTTTCTGCAACTTCCTGTGCTCCATTGAAGCACCGTCACAACAAACAGCATGCTCCGCAGGACCACTGGAGCAGTAATACAGAGAAATTACGTATCAGCCAATGATTGCCAATGACAGTCGTAAATTTTAACCTTTATATGATAATCTGAAGACCATACATCACCATACAACTGTGGAACTTGTTCAGTTAGGCAACACGCACCCAACAAACATTCAACACCGTTTAGGAAATTTATTAGTGAACGGATCGCTGATAAGACAAGACATAACTTTCCTCTGTCATCAAATTATAGAACAATGGATTATATGTAAAAACAGCCTAACTAAACATAAATTTTGCAAAACAAAATAAATGATTTGTAATTTTCTGCCAAATAAAACAAATAACGAAAAAAATCTATCAAAATAAGTAAATAAACATAGCTTCACATACTCTACCACAATAAGTCTGTTCATTAAATGATATTGCGTCTTAAACTAATAAACAAAATAGTGATGATAA